TTTCTTACGTTTCATGCCACCCTGTTCTGATATACACAAACTTACTATCTTTAATATTTGGCTACAACGTAGCGACAAAGTGCGTCTAAACGCGTGCTTTCTCATCGATGTTAACTAGAGAGGGGCTTCAAGGGGGAAAAGCAGGGGTAGGAGGTTAGGGGCAGGTACTCGAAACACTCGTCCCACAAATGGCCCTTATATGCCTCGATCCCTTTCAGCAACCCCTCAGCATACGTGTCCGGTGTAGTTGTTTTTTCCGGAAAATCATCACATTTCACGCGCGGTTTTTCACGGGGAAATGACTTTTCTCCCAGCCTCCAGCTTACTCTGGCAACTTGTTCTGGTTGAATTTATGTGAGTTTACGTACGTGTTTCCTCGAACTCGGAGATTGCTTCGGTCCGAGAGTTTTGAGAAAAGCAGCGAATGATCGATTATCGATATTTTCCCATTTAAAGCCGTGGTGAAGAATCGATTATTATAGTGTTCGTTGCAAACACCCTGTTTATCGATCCTTGTCCGTGGGTTTAAATGGCGGACCAATCGATACATCGCAAAGCACGCCCCGGCACTGGAGGAAAGTTGCAGGTGAAAGAATAAAAGCTCCCCCTTTTGATGGGAAACCGTCTGTTTCCTAACTGTAGATGACTAAGAGAGGCAGGCCAGATGTCTGAGAAAAACCTGAATCAAAGCGTGATACAATTTATCCGCAGCGAGGATTCTCGAATGCGTTTCTCAATTACGGTGTTTCGAAATTTACTCGTCGAATTTATTTTCGCAAAAAAAAGTGGAACTAAAAGGTTTTTTTTCTTAATTGACGACTATTCTTTATTAAACGAAGAAAATATAAAGGATATTTCAAGATTGGATTCATATCCATTTCCAAAATATCTGAAAATTTCAAGGAAAAATATGCATAATTTTCCTCAAAAATGCATGTAATATCAGGGGCAATTCCGCAAAATTTGAAGTTTCGTACGGTGTTTTTCCTCATCACGGCAGTATATCCGTTCAAATGCTTTGCATATGCGCATATATCAAAGTTTCAGTAAATATTAGAAGTATTTAAAGCATTTACGTTTATTCTTCATTCAATGAATGAAGTTTTACATCGTTTCAAGTAGCCCACGAATTATTTAAATTTTGGATTCCATAAACAACCCGACTGGCACATTATTTCGGATATCCGGTGAATACATACATACCGTGAATACATACATCCGGTATGTCATCTAACATATGCAACCGGTTAGTTCTATCCATTTAATCCTTTACTAGTTCCATTGTTCACGTTTGTACGACCACCTCTCTTATTTTAATTTTACGTAAAATATTAAAGTAACACCTAGCACAAGACAAAGGTTAAAAACAGGAAACTCATGCAGCGCAATTATGAACCGGGCACAAAATGGAGAAGAAAAAACAGCTCACTCGTATAAATAATCGTACAACAAGAAAAAAATGGCAGATGACCTAACCCTTTGGGCATGTGTAACACCGAGAGATATTCAAAAGAATCATATTTTACCCGATCCGCACAACTCGTGAGCCGGGCAGAACAATAAGCTGTACTGCCGTGCTAAGGAAAAATGCCGTATGAGCCGTCAGACGTTGCCAAGTTTCCTTCCATAAAAACCGAATTTACTGAGAAAATTATGAATATTTTTCATCAAAAATTTCAAAGAAAAATGTGCGTGAATGTTGTCTAAAATACACTGAAAAAAATAATATGCTGTCTTAGCACCTAGGATGTCAAAAATGTGTCTGGTGATCCCAAAATGCTGCCTTTACTGCCCTCGCAGTTAACTTAGCATCCTATGAATGCAAATTTAACTGCGTGGGAAATTAAGGTATCATCTCAGGATCACCAGACACTTTTTTGAAATCCTAGGTGCTGAAACAGCATACCATTTTTTTCGGTGTACAAGTTTTATCAAGGGAAATTTGGCAACTCTCGAATGTTCATACGACGTTTTTCCTTAGCACGGCAGAGCACTATTGTGGTATGAAAAAATTCCGTAAGAGTATTTGAATGTTGCCACAATTCCTCTCAGAAAAGATGTATTTTGAAGGAGGTTATGCATATTTTTTCTTAAAATTATTGTATATTTTATATCAAATTACCCACAAACCTCTCTGCAAAATCGGAAGAAAAATATGTAAAAAAATTCCCGAAAATTCGTGACATGTCTAGGGAGATGTGGCAACGCCTGATGGCTCATACGGTGTTTTTCCTTAGCGTGACCTTGTGCCCGTATCCGGAAACCTCCAGTTTTGGTCCCCAGTGCGACGCCCATTCAGAGCAGCTTAACGCCGTGGAAATGTTGAAATTGCAGACGTACTCCATCAACACTGTCGTGTTATAATATCATTAAAAAGTTTCTCACAGCTTTCTTTTTATCTCTTCAACTTACTTTTTATAATTCGAGGGGTTATCCAGAGTGCTTAGCCTTGAAACCGGAACTCAGTTAAAGTTTTAACAGAAAAAGTTCAGATATCTTCCATTCCGAGTCACCGGCGGGAGCGTTTAGCTCCTGCTCCCCGGCGGTGGGGGTTTTTATTGCTCTTCCATTCTTGTCTTGTCAGCACTGGGTGCATCAAAAGAATCCCTCGCGTTATCGATAGCTCGGTGGAGACTAACAACTTGAACTTAAACTGCATGTCAAGTTTACCTTGTTATAATCAAACTAAAGGGTGGTCTGGGGTACACTCCCTGACCACTGCGCAGCCCGAGGCACTGAAGGCGCTTCGCGCCCTCTATACGGCTCGGCACCTGAGAGTTATTCTAAAGAAAACAGGCTGAAACATGGATTATTTCCTATCAATAGTCACGAAAATCATGAAGAGTAGTCAGGTGGATCTTTAGAACGAATTTTGATGAACAATGGACATTCACTTTGTTTTAATAAAGAAACAACTTAAAACGGGACTAAGGCCGCAAATAATAAAAAGAAACACATAAAATAAAATAAGAAACCCGGAACGTTTCGCAGGGATCACACCCGCATTTTTAACCGGCAAAGCAAGAACATTAAAAGGACACTACTATGAGCCTCACCGTTGTTATTGTGAGACTGTTATATTGAGTCTCACAATAACAACGGTGAGGTTCATGGTGTCCTTCTTTTAATTTTCTTGTTTTGCCGGTTAAAAATGCGGGTGTGATCCCTGCGAAACATCCCGGGTTTCTTATTTTATTTTATGTGTTTCTTTTTATTATTTGCGGCCTTAGTCCCGTTTTAAGTTGTTTCTTTGTTAGTGTTTCGGGCCGATTAAGTTGTTTTCTCTTTGTTTTAATGGGAGACTGAACGACTATCATTTTTTTTTTTTTTTTTTTTTGGTAAATATTTTATTTATTTTCTTACAAATTGAATGGGGCCGGACAGCAACCCCACTCTATATTGGAGGAGAGATGAATATGTACAAATCAAGTGCAATTTGATGACTTAAAGCGAGTATGTTCAATGAATATCTTACAATTCGTATAATTCTTATTCTAAAATCTGTGATTAGTCTTTGTACGAGTCTTCATTTACAGTTTTGATTAATTAATTAATCATTTTCTAATGTACAGTCGTTACCTGCGGTACTATCCTCTCGGATATTACATCGGTAGGTTTGAGTGTGTGCCAGGGGCAACACTCTCGCGTTCAAAATCTTGCTCTTCCTAATTAATTATGGCATTTCTTACAAATTTATATATACAGTAGTTTCATTTATCACATTTTCTGGGTGTATCTTACATTTTGTCTTTTCTAACTCCTGTCTATCTTTTTTCCAGGTAGGACACTCAAAGAATGTACACCTAGGGGTGTCGATCGCCCCGACATGCGATATTGCAACCTGGACACACAGGAGAATCGTTTAGCCTAAATGTACGGAGAGTTTGGACGTAACATCCATGGCCTGATGAAAACTGCGATAGGTAATAATCAATTAAACCGCGCTATCTGTATGTTGTACACTCTATACAATATACTATCATGTTAAGGACTGATACCCTTGAGCCCTTAGATTCTCGTTTAATGAGGAATATAGAAGGCTGATTTTTATTGAAATTGATAGACAAAGCCATAGAAAAAGGAGGAAGGATCCCATTGGTTAATGGAGGGTGGTTGTTATAGACTAAGGAGGGAAAAGTGATGGACTAATATTGAGGCATTGGGTGCAGAGCGGGCATTTTTCAGTTGCGGCGTTTTAGAATCTTCATTGCTAATTTTTATTTTAGGGAAGCAACTATTGGGTGAATTTTCTAAAATTTTCTGTGATCAGCTTTCTGGAATCATTAACAATATTCAGTAAAATACCAGTAAAGTAACAAATTACAAAAAATTCACTCTTGTCTCTTAACTAACCAACCCCATAAACCAATGTATCGGGACGTACGAAAACCACTGACGTCCATTTTTCGAGTCTTAAGTTTTTTTTTTAGTTTATTATACCTTTAAAGAGTTGATACAACCATAAAAGTGATGAAAGGACTCGTATTAGCACGAAGGAAACCCGAAGACGAGTTTTAACGCCACTTTCGTGGTTGCAACCAACACCGAAAAGTATTCTGAACTCAAAAAATTTAAGACTGGGAAAATGGACATTTGCGGTTTTCGCACGTCCCAATTCAAATAGAATCGCTAAATTTTCGCTTTGTCCTTTTTATCTGCAGATTTTTCTATAAATTTCAATAATCAACCTGCGGTTGCACAATATGCACGAAGAAAAAAACTTCGTGCGTGGGACCTGAAGCCTAGGCCATATGGATTTCTGAAGTTTTCAGATTGAGCATCTGAACACTTAAGGTCTAGCTGTCGAAGTTCGAATCATACATCTGAAACTACAGTTCTTACATCTGAGGTACTTCGGTTTTCACATCCGAAAAACTTCGGTTCTCACATTCGAAAAACTTCGGTTCTCACATCTGAAGTACTTCAGATGTAAGAACTGAAGTTACAGATGTGTGATCCGAACCTCGACAGCTAGACCTTAAGTGTTCAAATGTTCAATCTGAAAATTTCAGAGATCCATATGACCTAAACTTCGGGTCCCACGCACGAAGTTCTTTTCTCCGTGTATTTTCACAATACCTGGTTGCGCTTAGAGGTTTTGTATTTTCACGTCTCAAACGTCGCCTCCTTTTAAAAGGTGCCTCTCGTAATCGAGGACCTCATTGGCCATCTCGCGGAAGGTGATGGGATAATTTTGAACGTTGTACTCGTCGAAGACGACGGGATACGTAGCGACGCTCGAGATGTTGCGGAGCTTCCCGAGGTGCCGCGCGAGGAGGTGGAAAGTGTAGTGCTGTCTCCAGTCGGGCCAGTACTGCCTGAAGAGCTTGTACCTGAATTTCAGGTCGTTCCCGAAAAGGACCTTGACGCGATGGACGAGTTCCGGGTGGTGGTGCAGAACAGACGTAGTCGGCAGTTCGCCCGCGTTGTAGTACCACCGCTTCGAGTTGTACGCCTTGTCGTAGGAGTGTAGCCACCGGTATAAAAATCTGGCGTCCTTGTGTGCGATGAGAATTTGAGAGCCTGGCAACAGAATCAGGTTTTTTACATCACGGAAAGAAATGAAATGTTGATTTAGCATTTATACTGTTAAAAAGATGTCCGACAAGTTTCAAATGCTGATTTTACATTTTAACAAATGCTAACGTAACTACGCCCATAGGCGGTTCTGGACCTTCATGCTTTGGGGTGCCCAGAGGTGGAAAATGTCGGTCCCGAAGGGGACGGTCAATCAGGAGAGGCCTAAGTTTCGGCCCTCAAGTTTTGACCCTTTCCTACCCTCCTTTCTCTTTTTCTTTCCTTCCTCTCTACTTAAATACCTATAAATTCAATGTAGAAAATTTTTAGCAAAACTTTCCATCAAAATGACAATCTTACCATAACAAAACAATAGAATCTTTGTAAAACACGGGTATCAATATTAATTCTGTTTAAAAAATTTTCAATTAATTGCTGAGATTTTTTCTCAGTGTGAGCAAATCTTTAAAAGCAGTATAATTTCACGGCTCCGATACCCGTACTGAATTTTTGCTTGGGGGTGCCTGGCACCCACTGGCACCCCCGTAGAACCGCCTATGACTACGCCCACTGCAAAACGCACAAATTAAAATGTTATGTTGGCATTTTGTATTGTGAAATCAGCATTTGAAACTTGTCGGACATCTTTTTAACAGTATAAATGCTAAATCAACATTTAACTTTTTTCCATGTGGGTTGCTTTTGAAAGTATGGACACATTGGACGTATTTATGCTGAGAGGAACTATATTTACACGCGAACCCTATGCACATAGTTCCTATTAGCGCACCTACGTTCGTCCATTTAATACACGGAATAAATTAAATCGCTGATTTAACAATTAAATTGCTGAAAAAAGTGACCACAATATTTCAACGCAGATTTCACAACACGAAAATGCTATTTTAACCACAATTGTTTGCTAATTTAACCACGGGGGTGGTTAAAGTATAATTTGTGTGTCGTGAAATCTACTTGAAATATTGCAGTCACTTTTTTTTAGCAATTGAATTGTCAAATCAGCAATTTAATTTTTTCCGTGATATCCTCACCCTCCGCCGAAGTATCACAAGCGCCACGCGAAGTTCAAAAATTTCCACCGCCGTTTTATTTTTTACAGGGAAATTGTTGGTTGAATCTGTTTGAAACTTTCACTGACTTTCATCGACAGCACAAAGAAAATTCAGTGAAATTCTCGGAAAGTTCCGCTGAACAATTACTCAGTAAAAGAATGCGGTAGTCCAGAATTGCGCGAAAGGTTTAAGAAAATATTAAGGTTGTGCGAAAAAGGCACAAGGATTGCGCGAACAGAAATCATAACATTTGCTACGGGAATGCGTGAATTTTAAAATGAAGTTAATTGAAGGTAGAGGTTTGGCAAAACAGGAAACAATTGGAAAGTAAGAGCATTATCATGTTACGCTAGTTTAGGTTAGATTGTTGACAAATCATGGATGTCTTACCCTCTGATGATAAATGAAGTGATATCATTGAATATTGGTCGAGGGTATAAACCACTTACCTAACTTTTCTCGGAAAAAAATATTTAATCGAGAGAAACGAGGCAACGTTGAAATGCTTATGCGGTGTCAAAATACAACATGGGCCTCTATTATTCGATGCCACGATTATAGTGATGGGAGTTCGAATAATCGCGCCAAACAGTGCAGTCGTCGTTAAACGTATATTAGCGCCTGCAAGACTGTAGGAATACCTCACGCATCGCGCTAAACAGTCGGCCCATATCAGCGCCTACAAGACTGCAAGAATACTTCTCGCATTGCGCCAAACGCAGTGCAGTCGGTCTGTTGACCTGAAACGAATATTAGCGTCTACAAGAATGTATAGGAATGCTGTTGGACCGCGAGTCATCATTTTTTACTTTCTGCTCAAGGTTTTACCATAATTAAAGGGGAAATATGTGTCCTCACTGTAACGATTCAGAAACTCAGATGATATTTAATTATGTTTTGGTTACATTAAGAGAAAATAGAACGAACGAAAAGATCGCGTCGAACTTTTCGATACTTTTATTTGAGATCATTTAGGTAAATTCACGGAAACTTTTCAGAAAAGCTGTGTGTAGCTTTTTAAAAACATGTATTAAAAATAAAACATGAAAGTGGTGCATAACGTTGCAATCAGAGATAAATACACGCTTTCTTTCGGGTGCACCCGTCGGGTTTTCAATCCCTTCGCATGTCTTAAAAAACTTGAACGTTGCTCTACGATTTTTTTCGTGTAGTTTTTTTTCAGTGGTTGGTGGCCAGAGGCCCCTAGTTTACTTTTTAAATGTCTACGAAAGCTCTCTGGGCCATTCGTGCTGCGAGGGCTATCCATCGAAGAGAGACATGCCTGTAATTGAATAGAGAGTGAACAGTCTTCCACGATGTAGCTATCTACCAAACACTACCAAGGTTGCCAGATTAACGCTTCCTCGATGAATATTGAATATTCGCGCAAACATGTGAGTTTTCAGTACCAGAGAACTTCGTGCAATTCTGTGCAATTATGCATGTCCAAAGAGATAAAAGAGGGGGTATTCGCGCTATTCAATCGTAGCCAAAAAATGAAACGACGGCGGAAATTTTTAAACGTCGCATGGATCTTGTGATATTTTGACCAGAGGGTGACGGTATCTTTCAGTAAGCGGTTAGGTTCCTTCCCACAGTGCATTTTCAAGAGATATTATATCTCTGTTGGATTTTGACGTTTGTACAGATTTTATTTTATTTTTCTGAGCTAAGCCATGAAGACGGAATCGTAGCGCTGCATTTTCCATCTCTAATTTCAGGCCCAACTTCTTCTAGTCTACGTTATAATGCCTGTGGTAACATTGTAACTTAGACAATGTTACCTTCGTGGTAATATTGTAACTTAGATTAAACATTTAGGTTGGGTCTGAAATCGGACATGAACTTTATTTAGACTGCGATTGTTTTTTCTTCTGTGCATCGAGTTGGTCATTAACCTCTGGTTCATTATCAAAGCATGTTACATCTCTGCGGTTTATATCAGTGAAGAGAGACTATTGCCTCCTGATGATCCCTTTGATAAAACGATTACGCCACAGTCACATCAGTTACTGTCGTCAAACCTATATAAGTCCTGTTCATACATTTTTCTCGGTCTTTCACTGTCTTTAACCTTCGGAACCCATATTCCACTATTTCATTCTAACAGTGCCCGTCTTGCGTGATTTTTGTGTGGAGATGTATTTTAAGTCGTAGTGTAAAATATTTTCGAGTCCATGATTTTTTTCTTGTTAAGAAAACATGTTGAAAGCAACGTTTGTTCACGTTATCATGATTGGTATCAGAACCAATGATTGTGTTGTGCGTTTTGGTGCTGCATATTTCTTCATATTCTGTTGTGAAATTGAAAACCAAGGCTTAGAAAACGATCTTTTACCCACGGGTAGAAGATGAAGAGGAATGAAAGGATAAAGGATGGAGGGTGATCGGATAAAATAATTATATAATAAAACGTACAATAAGGTAGCGGATAGAATATGGAAAACACAATGTATAAGTCATCAAAGGGTGAGAGGACAGCTTGAACATGATACACGATGAGAAGAATACAATGTGGAAACAAGCCTTTGGAATGTAGCAAACTGAAACTCAGAATCCTGGGCAGGATTTCCACCGCAGTTTCGAATTTCATTCCGTATTTCCGTCAGAAAATAATACTGGTGGTAAAATGGTAATTATTTGGATTTTAATTATTTACTTCGTTAACGATGTTGACATTTGCAATGTTACCGTATTTAGGTACCGAGCTCCCCTGCGTTTATTCTGCCGTGCTAAGGAACATCGCCGTATGAACCTTCGTCAGTTGCGAAGTTTTCTTTGATAAAATACAAATTTTTCAGGAGAACTTGTGAATCTTCGTTCAAATTTCCGGATAATTTTCTTCATGATTGCGGATCTAAGTTAGCTGAAAATTTCAAGAGAAAATATTCACAACTCCTCAAGAATAGATATTTGATTGGAGGAAATTAGCAACTCTCGAAAGTTCATACATGCACTACACGACATACTTCTTTTTTTGAAAAAATCTAGCCTTAAATTCCGTGCCACGTTTTACTTATCACACTGTTGGTGTGGGCCGCTTATCACCGATATTACATGTGATATAAGAGTGATATGCTACTGCTAAATCTCCCAACTAAACCAACCACAGGAGACTCTACTGTGTATAATAACTTACATCAAGCATCAAGTGCCCTCTAGCTTATGCTTTAATATTCGTTCGATCCACTGTCCTATGTTTTAGTTATTACATTATTTTGATAAGAGAGAAACAACATATTAGCCCGAATTCGTAACGATATGAAATGCAAAAAATGAAAAACAATTGGGTTTCCAAGGCTAAAAAACAGCCTATGAAAAAAGGCTAAAAATATGTTTACACTGATTCCTACCTCGGTCAGTTGCATGCTCATTTTCTCGTTTTAATTTTTTAAATCTTAGCTTTTGTTCTCGTTGAAAATGGGCAATGGGCAAGCAATTGGCCCGAAACGTCCTGGTTGTGTTTTTATTCTGATTTTTAGCCTTGTGAACCCATTCGTTGATATTTTACTGTATTTTACATTATTTTGTAATCATAGGATTATCGAACTGAAAGGAAATATTTCGTTTGTCTGGAAGGGTTTTGAGGGTCGGGATGGACGATGAACCCGCTAATTTTTCCTTTCGTCAGTTGAAACCACTGATCATTGTCGAATTTGAGTGAGCTGAGGATAATTCAGAATATTTATCTTTCAGAGTGCTAAGAGATGCTGATTGTGATGGTTGTGGTGGAGTGGAGTCACAATTTCTATCAAATTGGCATGCAGTTTTCAAATTTTTCCAATATTTCCGAAAAAAATCCCACGTGTGAAGGATCTGCCTACGGGTGAGAAGTTCTCCAATGAGTTTCAGGGAGATCAAACTCGATTGCAACGTTGGTGTCATGGTGGAAATCAACTCACAGTCGGAGTAGTATATTTTTCATTTTTTTTTTTTTTTTTTACTTTTTATTTTTTTTTATCGATAAGCATGAATTTGCCCTCCGTGAAGAAATAGGAATATTTACATTACAATTGAAAAATAAAACACTGAGAATATTGGTGAGGACACCCCTAGGACAGGGGGCTAGCGGGATATATATACAACTTAAATTTAGGTAAATTATGGACATATTTGTAAGTGCATGAATGATACAGGCTTCGGGAGTTCGGGCGTCCACTGACAATGAGCCTCTCGGCATACCTGAACGATAATTTTTTGATGGTTCTCTTCAGAGTAAGCGCAGGAGGTGACGGATCGTCTTATTAGATACAGACTCATCCCATTTCACTTAGAGCTCTCCGAGGATATCTTTTCTGTATTAAAGTAATAAAGTAGTAGGGCCCAAACCTCCAACCTCTCCGACCTTTGCCTTGAGAATTTTACCGTAGACCTTGCTCAAGGTTTCTATGACCGATATACCTCTGTTGTTATTGCAATATTGCTCACTGCCTTTCTTTGTGTTCAACTCAACAACCCCTGACAAATCTTCACACCCAAGAACATTTAGGATTTTTTCAAGGTTCTCTTCCCCATGCCATATTTTCCGTGTCACATCCTCCTCTACTGACTGGTACTGGTGATCATACTTATCAAGCGCCATAAAGTTTCCATCTAGTTTCTCCAAGTGCTTATCCATTTTGGCTAGATGTTCCTATCTCCCATACTAATGTAATGGTAAAGTCCAATACCAGCAGCAGTTATCCCTGCTAATATAGCCCCGGCTGCAACCACCGATCTCTTCCCTCTACTACCCTCCAAGTAAGAATCCAATAAACCATCTTCGCAATACCCCTGTGAGACTCTGTTAAAATGTGTCGGTATGGTGTTTAGAAAAGAGATTCCTTCAATCTCAGTAACTCTGATAAGCTAGAATTAGCTGAGCATTGTTTTATGTTGTTGGTTTTTACTGTGTGGAACCCAATTTTGACTCCTACAGAGAGGTATTTTACTTTGTCGTAGTGCACTGAGAAGGCTTCAAGCTCTACAACTAGTCCTGTATTGTTAAGGAAGAGGGCTCCCTGAGGGATATCCATTCCTCGTATTACGAGTGAAGATGACGTAAACCGGGCACGTTAGATGATACATTGTGAACTTGCCTTTTTATTAATATGTGATGTAATAACCGGCCTGTCACGAGAAAGTATGTCGAGAAAGCAAGTCCGGAAATAAAAGTTAAGCACTACTAGAAACCGAAAATCGTTTCCACTGAGATTCAAACGCGCCGCTCACGCAACTTCGGCCGATCGACGGCGGCTCTGATTGGTTAACGATACTTCAGGTTTGACGTCCCGACACTGAGTACTTACGGCCTTTCCATTCGCGAAGACAACGGCTTCTCCTTCTCAGTGTCAAATAGTTTTTTCTTTGTAATACTACGCCTCCCAATTTTCCGAGCTGTGCCTCTGTTAGTTGCAGTTTCAAAAAAATACACCTTTTGTTGACCTAAAAAAATTGCAGGGTACTTTACAAGTTGTTGACTGCGAATCAGTCGAATCCCTACATTCTAAGACTAACCAAGGAAAAAAACTATAAAATCATAGAACACTAACCAAGGAACTGATTCTTGTCCCAGCCGATAGTCATCTCGAACCTTCGGAAGAAATCGAGGCTCCTGAATCGCAAAAAACAACAGCCTCTTCTTCTCAGTGTCAAATAGTTTTTTCTTTGTAATACCACGCCTTCCAATTTTCCGAGCTGTGCCTATGTTAGTTGCAGGTTCAAAAAAATACACCTTTTGTTGACCAAAAAAAATTGCAAAGTACTTTACAAGTTGTTGACTGCGAATCAGTCGAATCCCTACATTCTAAGACTAACCAAGGAAAAAAACTATAAAATCATAGAACACTAACCAAGGAACTGATTCTCGTCCCAGCCGAGAGTCATCTCGAACCTTCGGAAGAAATCGAGGCTCCTGAATCGCAAAAAACAACAGCCTCTTCTTCTCAGTGTCAAATAGTTTTTTCTTTGTAATACCACGCCTTCCAATTTTCCGAGCTGTGCCTATGTTAGTTGCAGGTTCAAAAAAATACACCTTTTGTTGACCAAAAAAATTGCAAAGTCCTTTACAAGTTGTTGACTTGGGGGCAGTCGAATCCTTACATTCTAAGACTATTCAAGAGGGAAAAAAAACTATAAAACCGTAGAATACTAACCAAGGAACTGATTTTTGTCCCAGCCGAGAGTCATCTCGAACCTGCGGAAGAAATCGAGGCTCCTGACGACATAGGAGTCGTTATCGAGGAAGATGTTGACTGCGGGTCGGTCGAATCCTTAAATTCTAAGACTATGCAAGGAGAACAACTATAAAATCATAGAATACTAACCAAGGAACTGATTCTCGTCCCAGCCGATAGTCATCTCGAACCTGCGGAAGAAATCGAGGCTCCTGACGACATAAGAGTCGTTATCGAGGAAGATGCCACCGTACTGCATGAGCACGCGGATCCGGGCGATGTCGCCGCCGTGGAAGACACGCCAGCGCGGCCGGATCCTCTGGTGGAAGATCTCGGTCGGCATCTCCATGTGCCGCAGGACGAGCCGCTCGGTGAAGGGCCCGAGCTTGAGGAGCCGCTCCCAGTAGTTGCCAGAGGGCGCCACGTTCGTGTGGAAGTAGATGCGGTCGGGGCGCTGGTTGCGGAGCGCGGCCAGGACACAGACGAAGTGGACGAAGCTCATCTGGGGGTCCTCAAAGAGGATGAAGTGGACGATGTTGGGGACGATCGGGTGGTCGGCGCCTGTTGAATGAGATTGGCGATGATTAGGAACAAGGAATATAATACGAGGAATGGAAAATGAGGCGTTGTGGAGGTGAAGCGGGCAAATCTAGATCTGCCCAAGGACGATGAGATTTTGTTCTCCTTTTTTTTCTAGTCAACTGGGAGAAAATTCGGTCAAAACGCTGTCTTGCTGTCATGCAAAGGGCTCTTTTCATCAGTCGCACTGTCTTCGTGATTTCATGCAGGTTTTATGGATATATTATGGATTTTAGCTCATGAATGAGATGTTTTTTCCTCCTTTTTTATTCTAGTCAACTGGGAGAAAATTCGGTGAATCAAAACGCTGTCTTGTACGCCATGCAAAGGGTTCTTTTCGCAGTGTCTTTGTAATTTCATACAGGTTTTATGGATATATTATGGATTTTAACTCATGAATGAGATTTTTTTCCTCCTTTTTTTATTCTAGTCAACTGGGAGAAAATTCGGTGAATCAAAACGCTGTCTTGCGGGCCATGCAAAGGGTTCTTTTCATAGGCCACAGTGTCTTTGTAATTTCATACAGGTTTTATGGATTTAAATTCATGAATAAAGGAGTACAAAAGTAATAATAGTCTAATTACTTATTTCTATAGTATCGAGTATATGAGAGATAGAGATGAAGGATTGGGTGAAGATAATGGATCTTTTTGTATTGGGATCGAAGTTCTCTATTATTAGTCACAGTTTAAAGTATCAAAGAACAGCACCTGTCTCGTTGTTTATTCCTGCGAAGGGATTCATGGCATGGTCCAGGTCCTCGACGGGTTGGTTGTGGTTCTCGAACAATTTCATCAAATTTGAAGATGTTCTCTGCGGCTTCGTGCTGAACAGGAGGAAGATAGTAAGTAGTAGCATCCCTACAAATAGCAGCAAGGTCCATGTTTGCTGCCCTCTGCAGGTTTTTGGCCGAATCTGCAGGAGCATCTGTTCGCGGTACATAGAAATAGAAGTTATTTATGTATTTTTGAGGAAACTAGATGTCAAGGATGGAATAGGTAGGTATCTTTGAACGTGAGTAAGGGACAAACGGACTGCATTTTGCAATTTGGAGCTATAAATTTTGACTTTTCTGGAAAAACACTTATGTGCATAGGAAAACTAATGGCACATACGTTGTTTTTAAACCAGGCTAGAATCTATAGATCCAAATTGCAAAATGTAGTCCAAATATAAATGGTTTACCAAAAAATGACTTTTTCCCTCGCTTATCCACCTTTCACGTCCCACAGTGGAGTGAGCTAATAGAAGAGGTCGAAAAAGAAAATTTTCGCTTAAATTTCAAATTTTGATGTTTATTTCGTCACCATCTCAATTTCAAGGGGTGTTTACGAAGGGAAATTTCACGACAAAACCAATGAAACCACTCTTAAACTTTTTTGTTTCATTTTTCAAAAAATATAAGCTTTCATAGTTTCTATGCAGTATTATGTTATAAAAATGAACGAATGAAAACCGTGTAGTTCATTCAAAAAGTTGTGCATGAAATTGTTTCCCCCCATATTCATGGATAAAATTCTGCTGGCCGCACGCTTTCTCATCAAAATTCCACGAGTAAACCCATTCTCTCTCGTCAAAATTCCACGAGTAAACCTATTTTCTCTCATCAAAAGTGGGTACCGAATTTTCAGAAAAAAGAGTCATCTCTGATGTTCGCTGTTTCAGATGATTTGGAACGGCCCAAAATAGGCAATTTAATGTGCAATTAAGTAATAAAAAAACCGTTGAGGCTGAGACTTCTTACGGGCAAGCGCTTGGGGGGGGGGGCATGATTTTCTTTTTGCGCTCAGCGTAAATAAGTACCATCGTTAGTCACATGGAGGAGTCCTAAGTTAAGAGGTCTAAACTAATGATAATGGCAAATGAACCCCGGTGCCGCGATGGGTCACCGCATCTCATGTTAAGTATCTGAAGTCGGATGTACTTCAGAAGAGATGAGACGTGTCAAGTATTGTTAAGGTAAGTACGGAGATAATCTCCAATTCATGAGTGTTGACTCACCGGTCCTCAACTCAGAACTTAGTTCCCCGTGGGAGGCCATCAATTGTTGCTTTCTGCACATACTGTCGTTCAAGTAAGAGCGCTGCATCGCTCTATTATTTCTCTTCAATGAGACGAAATACTCTTAAACCTGATTAAAATTGTGCTTAAAAATAGTGGGAGTTCTGAGCATGACGCAGTTTTTTTTTTTTTTTTTTTTTTTAACAAATAAAAGTCTTAAAACCTAAAAAAGTGCGGAAACCGCGAATGCCCATTTTTCGAGTTTTTAGTCTTTATGGTTTAAAATGCAGGAAGTATCGAGAAGCCGTGATGATTGAGACCTACCGCAGAAAATTATAAATTGCGGATAACCGGGGAGATGGTGAGAAGAATTGATCGGAAAGGCAGAATTCTAAAATACTCTATCAAAACATTCATCGAATATTAGACAAATACTAGGGAACTATGCCCCCTGGCCGCTACGCGGCCCAACCCCCAAAGGGCGCTTTGCGCGCTCTTTGGCCCGCTTCGGCAAAAGAACGATCAAAAAATGAAAAGATTTGCATACCCGACTCTCATTTGTCCAATAAGAGACTCATTTGTCATTTTGTCTCTGGCCGAGAGCAATTGGACCAATAAGAATCAAAAATTCAGAAAACTGGCATTTATTTCAAACTTCAGGCCAAGACTGAAACGAAACGGAACGGAGCGTTTCGTCGCTTTTTGATGGTCTATAGCAAGGGAACATATCCGCAAAAAATAAGAGTTTGGGATTAAATTATCCTTTGGAAGAAAAATGTCCTGTCTCATTTTGATATACACAATACATGTGAGGAAATCCCTCAATTTTAGGGCGCACTAATTTCTGTTTACCCAATGATTACCCGATTTACGTTTAAATTTCTCCACGGAGCTTTTGATGAAATTTTAATGAGAGCTTATCAGCATCTGTGAAGTAAGTTGATAAAATTCTTGCGCCTTATAGAGATTTATTATATTCGACTAAATATCAATTTCTTTTACCTTAAGGGTGAGAAAATTCCAGATAGCTTGCAACTTAAAATACAATAAGCTAACATATTGTTGCTAAAAGAAAGAGCTCATAATGTAAGTCAAAATTATATGTAATTATATGCGTTATATGTAAAAATGTACTTAACGATTTTATAGCAAGATTGAGAACGTCAATCATTCATGCTAACATGGTGCGCATTGCACAGTGCACACGAACTGAAAAATATAATAAAATTTAAAACCAATTACACTTACGAATAATATTTTCCGAAGATAGGTGAATGGTGAAGAGATCCAATGATAAATTATCACCTGAAGGCCCCTAGTTTTCCGCTATCTCTTCACTAGAGTCGTATTGTTTAGTAGTACTCAAGTTTGATTAAAACACTAACAAGAAAAACGAGGGTCATAGGTAATTAAAACTCGCAAAAGAAAAAAAAAATGAAGAGAAGAAAAAATACCCTCCGCGAAACATCTTCATAATTGACAGTTATTTAAATATGGCACAGCTACCCTTTGAAACTTCATGATCTAAATGAAAAAAAAACCTTTTTCACCGATTTAATGTAGATGCTTCTTGGAAATTGTATTTAAATCGGCATAATAAACACACTATTTTTGACTCAGGCGCGTACAAAACAGTAACTTATCGATGACACAAAAATTTCGGAGTATAGTCATTACTAAATCTATAAAAAAACTACCACAGGGAACATATAAAAATTTAAACAAGTCTTTTTTGGCAAAAGGCTTGAGTAAATGAGTACACGGCACTTAAAATGAAAAACAATTACAGTATCAAGTGAACGAAGAGGAACAATCCTGCAACCACACGAGAGTACGAAAATATTCTCATAAGCGACTCTCAACTCCTCTGAAGTCTGCTCTAAGACTTTTGATTGGTCGATTTTCAGACGTTATTTTATCAAGTATCTGCGCCTCTTTCTCTCCTGTCATCTCCCTATCTCACTCTTCTTGGGAAACATCGAACATTTCTAGAAATTCAAGTAAATCTTCCAAGGCACCGCCCACAGTTCAGTAGTTTCACTCATGTTCTTCGCCGATGGAGAGGGATCTGCAGAATTCACTCATATTACTCCCGTTCGATATTATGAGAGGAAAGAGGAGAGGTAATAATTATTATCAATAAAACTTGGTGTAATTTGACTTGAAATAAATTCATTTCATACGATTTATCAGAAAGATTCTCAATCTTGTTTCACATATGATTCTGTTGCATGCAAGAGATACAGCCATGTAAATGAACCGAGTTTGTCAGAAAGGAACCAGCCCACATAAAGTTGAAACTGAGAAAAAGAGGTTTGATGTCGCACTCATCCATAAGACTTTTTGTAAAGAATTAATACTTTTTCCTGTACAAATTGAATTTTTTTCAAAAACTGATCACACTTAAATTTTTAATTTGTATAGAAAAAAGTGCTCATAGTGGCGATAAAGTGTTAGAAAAATTGTGCAGTGTGCTACAACATGGTAAAAAATTATCTTTAGCTCCTCTTTTCACAGACAAATTTTTTTTTTCGACTTTGTATTTTTGCAAGGAGAAAATATACGACTAGTGGAACTCAAAAACACTCTTAACTCAATTTTTTCGAAAATGTGGGTTGGTTCTTCTCCGATAAATTCAGTCCAAATATATTCTTTTTGCAAGTCAAATTGCAAGAAAATCACATTGGGCACGTCAAAAAAGTCTAAAATCCATTCCTTAGTTCGCAATCTGCGTAGTTTGTAACACGCTTTTTCAAATTTTCCGCGTCTGCGGGCAGTTTTCTCAGTCACCGCGGATCAGGTTTGCACAGGCAGAAGAGTAAGAAAAACCTGACCCGAGTAAACGAACGATTTCACTAACTTTTTCTATTCTTCGATTTCAATTGTTTTTAAGTGTTTTTCCCTTTTTCTTGCAAAAATTAATTCTTTGAATCAATTGAGATCTTGCACAGGGTGAGTTTATGACAGTTCGCAAGATTGTTTGATTATTTGGACTACATTTTGCAATTTGCAACTATAAATTCCAGCCCAGTTTAAAAACAACGTATGTGCCATTAATTTTCCTATAAGCAAAAGTGTTTTTTCAGAAGAGCCAGAATTTATAGTTCCAAATTGCGAAATGCAGTCCATTCACGTTACGTCTCTCTCCGAGCATACCTGACCACCGGCCACCAAGAAAAACTGTTCGCATACGCGGTAAATTTGAAGAAGCGTTTTACAAACTGAGCAGATCGCGCGCTAAGGAGTGGATTCCAGACTTATTTGGTGAGCCTAACGTGATTTTCAAACGAATCTTCTCTTGAAAATTGTGCTCAGTTGGCCGTATCTCTTGTGTGCAACAGACCCACTGAAGAGTAAATACTGTCATATACAGGAGCTCACCGTGGAATTTCCAGAAATTAAGTATAAAGTGGTGGAGTATACGAAACTTATGTAATTGGTAGTTGTCTCTGCATTGAGATGACATTTCAAAAAGTGCAAAAACGATTAAATTATGGACACTCAATAGTAAAGTTGAATGTACGATGGAGGATTAAGCAATTAGTATTTTTAAGTCTGTTTAAACGAAACGGATTATTCCTTAAAAGTAAAGATATTAATATTTTAAAAGCTAATATATTTAATTCCTAAGCTAATTGGTAGAATAGATGTTTTGACCACATTATTACTCCCTTGTACCCCAATCGTTTTATGCTTAGTAATACCTAACATAAATACTGAATTTTAAAAAGCCAGGTAGCCGGTAATGGCAAATGGCGTGGCTTGCTTTGCAATATGTCGATTGATCGAAACTTATGGAAAAGGGTCGATTCGTATTCGTAACGAACACCTTAATAATCGATATTTTACCATAACTTCAAATGGAGAAATATCGATAATCGAACATTCAAGCTTCGCCACAGGTAGCCGGCTCAAAACCACTTAGGAGATACACCCATTATGAAAGGTTATGTAAATTGTCAGGCTCCGCTTGAAAACAAGAGTTATCTAAAGTGATATTTACGATCGTCTAATTAATGTCAACTTAAAGAATGAAAGCTCACTGAAGTGCGATCTTCGGCGAATAACTGAATGACGCATAAATATCTCCGGCCGTTCCAAGCTACGAGGCGCTATTTTTGTGTTCAATTCATCTCGACTGAAGAGCTAATCGAAAATTTTCTAGAATTTTTAGGTTTGTTCAGTTGATCGAATTCATTAATAGAACTATACGGTGTAAACGAATATCGGCTTTTTAAGAAGTAGGCAAGAATTCAAGGAACCGCTTTCTGCTGCAATGAGAGACAACACACGCTTCAGTCTGTCGAAAACTGTCCTGACGCACTCTTGGACTTCAGAGTGAATGGTCAAGTACTTCAGTTCTCTTTTTTTCGGATAATTGACACCACTTGTGCAGTGGCGTGTCATTTTTTGTGATGAATTAATTGATCTATCAAATCAACCTTTCGGAAAGGATCGATTGTTAGGGTTTTTCCGACAAACACCTTAATAATCGATTCTTCACCACAGCTTCAAATATCGATAGTCGATAATTCACGCTGCACTCATGACCAAAATGCGCGTACGTTGAACCTCCGATGTACTTTTTAAGAGCTACTGAAAGACTAGTCGGTTATTTTAAAATAGTTTATTTTATTTTATTTTGTTAGAAAGCCGAGAAACGAAATTAGGATATTTCTGACGAACTCCGACAAGTTTACCAAACCCGTTTGATCCAATTGTTCACCTAGTTAGTGGAGGTGATGCTAAAGCACTTAACTTAAATGAAATAATAAAAACTTACCGGAAACTCGCAATCCACCCCAAAATATATACTTATTTCTGCAAAGTGCATGAACAACAATCAAAAGACCAAAACTAAAAATTAAGATATTGGTGTCACTATTAGGACAAGGTTTTTTGCCAAAATTTTGACACGAAAAAATTGCCCATAAATTTCAAACCAAACCGAATTGGTCATTTGTAGTATGCAGAGCGTAAAACGTGGTTTTGAAGGTAGGCTATTCAAGGATTTTATTAGTCTTGTTTGGGACTCAAAATTGTTAATTATATCACCATTTTATGTTCTCCAACGGCGCGAAAATTAATTAAACTCGCCCTGACCTGTTTTTTTATGGTTCCAATTAATTTTCTCTTTTTAACTAAACTTTTCGACAAAAAAATTGTCTCCACGAAATACTGACTCTTCTTCCGCAGATAACTTCTGGTTATATTAATTAGGAAAAATGTATCATAATCAAAAATGCTAAAAAAATCCTCCTGGTCATTTTTGATGTGACGAAATATACACCAACATTTGAAGTTTTAAACAAAAATGTATCATCCAACCTTTCCCTACGAGTACGACTCGTTTCACTGTGTGGAGATCACCGAATTGTTCACGAGATCCCCAGGCGGGAAACTCCGCGAGCACCCACGCCTGTGGGTGCCACGCCACCCACAGTGGCGAGGCGATAATGATCAATTATCGATATTTCCCCATTTGAAGCTATCGTAAAGAATCGATTTTTAAGGTGTTCGTTGCAAGCGCCCTGTTTATCGATCCTTTCCATGGGTTTAAATGGCAGATCAATCGAGGCGATGATGATCGATAATCGATTTTTCCTTATTTGAAGCTATGGTAAAGAATCGATTATTAAGGAATACCCTGTTCATCGATCCTTTCCCATAGGTTTTTACGGCAGATCAATCGATATATCGCAAATCACGGCTCGCGACTGCTTAATACGAGGCCGGAGATCGGGGATGCGAGGCCGTCTTTGTCTCCGGGAGACCCGAGACCTGCCGGGCCCGATCAATGGGAGTCGGAGATGTCGTCGCTGCTCTGACGCAAGGGCGTATCCAACGTGAGCCCTGTTCGCTGTATAACTCAATGGTTTCCAGGGCTCATGTGGATTTCGAGATACGCGGCGACATTAGAGCAGCGACGATGTGTGTAACCTGCTTAACTTATCTGTCCGACTCAAGAGCCGCCCGGGCGAGGCGCCGAGTCCGTAATTCTCAGCATCGCGCCCTAATCCCCGCCCGGGGGCCACGCTCATGCACGAACCAAACTTGGAGATTTTCCGGAGAAAACCCCCTCGTTTTCAATGGGGGTGTGAAGGAATCGGTCTATTCTGCCGCGCTAAATATAAACGCCGTATGAGCATTCGAATGTTGCCAAATATTCTCTCGGAACATATGAATTCTTGAAAAAAATTATGAATGTGTTTCCTTGAAATTTTCAGACATTTTAGATCGAATAATGAACGAATCCGAAGACGAACATTTTTCTGAAAATTCGTAATTTTTAGAAGGCAATTTGGCCATGCAAAATGGTTCATATGGCATTCTTCGTATTCTGCCGTGCTAAGAAAAAACGCCGTATGAACATTCGAGAGTTGCCAAGATTCATATGATAAATGTTTATTGTTGAGGAGAATTATGAATATTTTTCCTTGGAATTTCCAAGAACTTTAGATCAAAATTCGGACAAAATTATCTGAAAAATTTGAAGAAAAATATTCATAAGTTTACCAAGGAATTCGCGTTTTTCCAGAGACGATTTGGCAACGCCTGAAGGTTCATACGGCGTTTTTCCTTTGCACGGCAGTATTGCTTGCAGATTAAACTGCTCATAATGAACTAATAAAATCTCCTTGCCTAGAGCAGTGGCGGATTCAGCAAATTGGTGGCATTGTTTTTTCTCCATAAAAACCTATGGAAATGTATTAATTTTAGAGGGATCAAGTTCTCAGACAAGAATTGAGTATTTAATACTGGTTTAGATAGAAGAAAGCCAGTGTTGACAAATCGCTGGATCCGCCTCTGGCTTGGATTGGCATTGCGGAAGAATGGGGATAATGCACGCAAGA